GATGTGTGCGTGAATGGGTGGATGACTGGATATGTAAAGCGCTTTGGGGTCCTTAGGGACTAGTAAAGCGCTATATAAATACAGGCCATTTACCAAATATACGCTTTAGGACTCGGGGTAAAGGGATCAATAACAATTTAAAATTTATAATTTACAGTTTGATGATTTAAAGTCTGACACACAACCCGTCCAAATAGAGCCCATTTCATTCATAATGTTGTAAATTACCCTTCGATGCTTGCTCCCTCCTGGGAACACGCGGCGGGTCTGAGCCCGCGCTGGAATGGTAGCGCTGGGCAGGATGGCTGCTGTGTTTGCTTCGGATTACTCCTCACCCCCCATCCGACCCTGTGGCTTGTCACGTGTTCCATAATGTTGTACTGTGGACATTTATGTGCTTTTTTCTGCAGAGGAGTTTTTTTGTTTCCTGTTCTCATGCTGTCCTCCCAGGACTCTTGTACTTTCCCATTGTAGTGTATATTTCAGTGGGGGTTGTTTTTTTTCTCCGACCTGTATCCCCATGTGATGTCTGTGTTGTGTGTGTAAGGTCCGGGGGGGTGTCCTATTTCACTGCAGGGCAACCTGCACGTGGCGAATAAAGCCTTCATTGATTGATTGATTGATTGATTGAAATGATGCAAAAAATATTATTTTTAAGAAATATAATAAAAACTACTGGATTGAATTGTTTATGGACTATAACAATGACAAATTCTCCCCAGCCAGTGGTTTGGTACACCTTGCTAGTATTGGGGAGGGAACACTATTTTCCTTCAGAACTGCCTTAATAGAGAAAAATTCCTCTGAGAATTTGAGCCATCTTGCAGTTGCACCAGATTTTCCAGCTGTGTATCCATGATGTGCATCTTCTGTTCCAAAACATGCCAAAGGAGCTCTAATGTCTGGTAACGGTGGAGGCCATTTGAGTACAGTGAGCTCATTGTAATGTTCAAGAAGCATGTTTTAGATCATTTGAATGATGCTCAAGTGGTACTAAGAGGCCTAGAAGGTGCCAAGAAAATTATTCCCGCACCATTACACCACCAGCAGCCTGGTCCATGCTTTCAACATGTCCATGCTTTCATGTTGTATTATGCTTTCATTATGCCAAATTGTGACCCTTGCAGCAGAAATCAAGACAACTCCAATATTCACCCAGGCTTTTGATGCTCAGTTTGAATTTCAGCAGGGTTTACCATGTCTGTATCCCAAAATGAATCTAGTTGTTGCCATTTGATTGATCATATTTGTGCATTAATGAGCAGCAGAAAAGGTGTACCTAATATAGTGTCCTGTGAATGTATATTGAAGTCCACTAAATTCTGTCTTTTTTCCCCTAGCACTTGAAAGCTTTAACTTGTGTGACTGCACTATTGCAGGAGTCTCTATCTTGCTTTCAACATGCATGTATGATAAAGTTGAATAATGCAATGAGTTTGCTTTTTAACGTTTGTTTTATATTCTGACTTCCAGACAGGAGCGTACACCATAAAAACCAGTATGTCACTGGGAAAGCTTCTTCTTGTCAAGGCTGAGAAAGATCCATTTTTTCTAATCTCAGAAGATGAGTGGTACTGCTCCAGAATAGTGGTGACCACTCCAGAGGGAGACGTCGTTCTCTTCCCCTGTTACAGATGGATCTCCAGGGGAGAGCTGGTGGAGCTCAGAGGAGGGCGAGGTCTTCTAAAAAATGAAATGGCAATTCATTATAAGTTAATGATGCTAACATCATTGAATGTTTTTCAAACATTGTTGTATTTTGCTTTTGACTATTTTTTTTTATTTATTTGAAACCGTTTTTATACCTCACAGCTATGAAGGTTTTTGAGGATGATCATCCTCTGCTGATTGATCACAGAAGAAATGAGCTACTAGATAAAAAGAAATTGTACCAGTAAGTTTACATGCATATTTATACTGCTAATACTCTTACTTTTGTGTCTTTTAACATAAAACATTGAGCTATACACATGACTTTACACTTTTCTTTTTTGTTGTTGTTTTTAGATGGGAGATCACAGATGAAAAGCTACCACACCACAGCCATTTTAAAAATGTGTCTGAGTTTCCAGCTGAACTACGTTTCTCTGCAGCCAAATCAGATGAGATGTTTCATACCAAAAGGATGACGTAAGTTGGGAATTCAATCTGTATCTTAATAGTAGCTCCAAAAAAAGGGCAAAAGATTTTTTTGAATTGTGAATTACTGGACATGTATCTTGTTTAAAATTTTTCTTACTCCTCCTCACTTAGTGGTGCTGAACTGATGTTCAAGGGGCTCGCTGGATCTACTGAACAATGGAAAAACACAGATGATATGAAGAAGATCTTTTGGTTCAAAAAGACTACAATATCAGGTAGAAAACACCATCTTGGTGAAATACATCTACATCAACGGCTGATGGCGTCAATAACTGTCAACAGCTAAACCTGAAGAAATTAGACTGTTTTATTGGGCCGTATTTTAAAGGACAGTCTGAATCTCGTTTTTCTTTGTTGTTAGCAGTGATTATGAGCAGGTACTCATTTGTAAAAGCTCAATGATTACTGACAAGATAGGAAACAATATTTTTTGCCAATGTGTTTCAGAGTATGTCATGCAACACTGGAAGGATGATGACTTTTTTGGATTCCAGTTTCTGAATGCTATAAACCCAAATGTGATCAAGAGGTGCTCAGAACTTCCCCCAAACTTTTCCGTCACAGAGGAGATGGTGAAGCCATTCCTGAGAGATGGGACCTCCTTGAAGCAGGAAATGGGGGTATGAATGAAACGTAGTTTTAAAATTTGCTGTCTCCAGTTAACTTCTGAGCTTCTGTTCTCTGTTGTTTGTTCAGAAAGGAAATATCTTCATCTGTGACCAGAAGATCATGGATGGAATACCCACCAGGATGTATGATGGTCACCCTCTGCAAGTGGCAGCTGGCTTGTGTTTGTTCTACATGAACCCAGAGAACAAACTAATGCCAATTGCAATACAGGTATTTTACTGAGAGAACAGATGGCATTCATATTATGAGCTCTTTTGTGTTGCGCAGTGATGACGTGCGTGTGGAGCCACTGGTATCATTATGCATTTAAGTTGTAGTTTTTCTCTCTTTTTTTTTTTTTTCAATATATTTATTATCTTTATTTTCTTATAAATCCAGCTGCATCAACAGCCTTCTGAGCAGAACCCCATCTTTCTGCCCAGTGACTCTGAGGCAGACTGGCTGCTAGCCAAGCTGTTTATTAGAAGTTCAGATCTACTGGAACATCAAGCAGTCTATCACCTCATGAGCACTCACTTTCTGGCAGAGGTCTTTGCTATTGCTACTTTCCGCTGCTTCCCTGAGATTCATCCTCTCTACAAGGTAAAATGACACCACAAATTAACAGATATGGTAATATATACTATAGAAAAACGTATTTCATCATTAAAAATAATTTCTTTTCTGTCAACAGAACTTCACTTTGATTTGTATTCTAACTTGTATTTGGTATTTTACCCTCTGTCTGCACAGCTTCTGATCCCACACTTCCGTTACACTCTGAACGTAAACAGCGGGGCTCGCAACTCTCTTTTGGGACCTGATGGGCCTTTAACCATTGTATGCATATGTACATCCCAACGCTCTCATAGTTCTTGTATTTTATATTTCCATAACTATAAATTCCAGAAACCTACCAAACTGCAACTATTTAATTACCAATAGAGTTCACTTGGATATGAGGGGATAAAAGAGCTCATGAGACGGGGTCTCTCCAGAATGACCTACAGCTCCCTCTGCCTGCCAGAGAACATCGCTGCACGAGGACTGCAGTCAATCCCCAATTTCTACTACAGAGATGATGGCCTCAAACTGTGGAACATCATCAACAGGTCAGGATTAAATTAACTGTATGGAAATACTACAGTTTTTAAGCAACAGCATTGCAATGCAAGATGTTCATTACTAGATAATATTAATCTGATTTTGTTAGTTTGGTACACTACACATTGCATTTATATTTTTGCAACTACAACAATGATTAATTGATGGAACTTGGTGTTAATATGGTTTTACAATGCAAATTTAATATAAAATTGTATTTACATGCATATATTACATATTTTTACCAGCTTTGTTAAGTACATAGTAGAGCACTATTATCCATCAGACAGCGATGTGTGCAAGGACACCGAGCTGCAGGAATGGATCAATGAGATATTTACACACGGCGTCTTAGGAAACAAACTCTCTGGTAAATAATAAATACCCTTAATTGTATTTGTCACATAAAGCCTAGGTTATAATGAAAAAAATAGTGACTGACAGCGAGCGTTCTGTTAACAGGGTTTCCGGCATCCTTTAATACTGTTGAGGAGGTGATCAAGTTTATCACCATGGTGATCTTCACAGTGTCAGTTCAACATGCTGCACTCAATAATGAACAGGTATGACAGCACGCTATGTAATTATGTTTGATCAAGTACAGTGAGTCTTTGCATCTCCAATAAGGAATTGATTCAGCTGCCTTTTGGCCACAGAGAAGTGTCTCTATTCTATTCCATGTTTCCCTGGTTTGCATTTTTGTAAAGGATACATACTGCAGCAGATCCAGACAAACACCTCATAATTTAACAAGAAATTTAGGAGCATTTGGCTAAGTCAAGTCATTCCAAGTTACTGCACCCAGTTCTTTGGATCATTGTCCCATCATGCTGCGATAAGCTGAGTTATCAGATTTTATGCAAACATGTGAATGTTGTCAAATTCTGACATTCTGAAACCAACTACATTTTCCAGATATTCAACTTTCACCTAATGTTATAAGGTGAAGCAAAAATCAAAAAACACACATTATGGCACGCAAAATCTTGGACCACATTTATCATTTATATAACTATATAAAACATTTAGTAAAATCTGCTTTGTCAGTTATTCTCTCCGACTATAATTCCCTTTGCTTTATGTATCAGAAAAACATAATAGAAGAATAATAGAATTTGCTGTAGCTCTGAAGATATTGGTGGATAATGTTTAACATGAGAACAGATATCTACCCTTATTTACATAGATACAATAGCTATGTCCTTTGTTTGAAAAATAAAGCAAGTCATTTATAAAAACTTGTTTCATTCTAGTTTGACTACAGCTCCTGGATGCCCTATGGCTCAGGCTTGCTTCACAAACCTGCTCCAACCACAAAGGGGCAGTCAAGCATGACGACATTATTGGAGACTCTTCCAAATATTGGGGAGACAGTAAAGTTTGCAGGAATGCTTTGGGTACTTTCCCACAAGTATACAGATGTGGTATGTATCTTTTTTTGCTTTTCATGCTTTATTTATATTCCTTTTTTAAAAAGAATATCACAAATAAAATATTGTTAGTCTGACTAACTAACTTTGCTTCTGCAGGTTCTGTTGGGTCAGTACCCTGAAGAACGATTCGATGAACCTACCCCGAAACAAATGATTAAAGAGTTTCAAGCAGAGCTGTCCTACCTCAGTGAAGAAATTACAGCAAGAAATTCTCGGCTTGAAGTACCCTACACATATCTGAACCCGACTGAAATAGAGAACAGTGTAACCATTTAGTCAACAATACATGGTATCCTGCTTTCTTTGTCTATAATTCTGGTACATATAGTACCAGGTGAGGTGACGCTGGCAGCTTCTCAGGTTTTATATGTTAGTTGTATCATGATAAATAGGCATGTTCATTTTTTGTATCTACTGTGTATTACATAGATTAAGAGATTAGTTTGGGGACATTGGGGGACTTTTTTTTTACAATAAAATGAGAAAATGTTTTTTAATTTGTCATAATTTCATGCTTTTTAAAGAATATACATACAATTAAAATAGTTTGTTCCTATACGACTGAAAGTAACATGCACATCTGAGACTATCACTCCTTTTTTTTGGTTGTAGGAGGCACATGATTGACACATAGTGTGTGCATAGCTAATGTTACCAAGGATATGTAAAGGTTAGTTCTTCTTTTACAATGCTGAAGATTTAGACTGTGAGCCAATGTAAGGTTTATAGCACAGTTGTATAAAATAAAAAGCACTGGTAATTACCAAAATCATTTTTTATGTTTGTGTAATGGTTAGTGCAGCAGTATGCACGAGCTGCATTGTAAGTATTGTTATCCATTAATTTTCAAATGTACTGTTTTATAAAAAAGAAGAAGAAATAGTAAACTAATTATTTTTTTATTAAGATACCAAATTTTATTATTTACTTGCATTCCTGAACAGAAAAAAATATATGCTTGGTTCAAGTCCAACGTGTTGGCTAAAGTTTTAGTGTAAAAATGTGAACTCACTTTATTTCCCTAATAACAATATAACTCTTAATTTTAAACAACTTTTTGACAAAGTTCTAAAATATTTATTTTTTGTTTTTTTATGACAGGTGGCCTAACAAATATGTTAAGCACTGTACAGTATGCATGTTTTTTACTTTCTTTTTAAAATCTCTGTGGTTCAGAATTGATTTAAAGGATCAGCCAAACAATGTAAAAACGCTGGGAAACAGAAAAATTATCAAAAAGATTATCCAAAAAAAACAAACATGATGCAGGTTCAGACCTGCAGGCAAACCTGCCTCACCACACAAATTCTTCAAACTGGCTTTAAAAATAACAAACACAAAGAAGGAAATTTATTCGCAACAGAACGGTGGGAACAATCACTCTTTGTGTAAAGCTGTATGTTTTCATTTTCATCTTGCTGTGACATTAAATACCAATAAAGAAATACTAATGAGGCTCAGCAAATTCAAGCATTAAAAATCTCTTTGCATTTCTGATTTTTTTTTCTGTAGTTTCCACAATGCAATCATGGGTAAATAAAAGCTAAAGGTGACAACAGCTCGCACACATTACGCATGTGAGCTGTTGTCACTAGACCACATATACAGTACATCACTTTATGTGGAACAGAAAGGGGAGTGGACAATTTCGGCCGAACATTAAGACAGTGATTCTCAAAATAAATCTTGGAAAATAAACTTTTATATGTAAATGTTATTCTTTGTAAATAAGGACTGTGACTTTAAAGCCTGTAGATTTTTAAGATGTTAATCATTATCTGACTTTTATCACAAATAAGATTATTTTCCTGGTGATGCCTGAGGGAGGTGGATATCTTGGAAGAGAAGGAAAACACACCCGAAACAAACATCTTGCCTGACCAGTACTGTTTTCCAGTAATGAGAAACAGATTTTATGTTCCAATACCAAACTTACATTTAAACTTTGACAACACTTTCAAGTTTAATCATCTGAACTCGTGTTAAATAAGTCACGGTTATCTATTGTACACTCTACCATACATTTGTTTAATATCATTTTAGGAATTGTAGGAATGGCTGTCACTATGTGTACTTTGATTTTTTTCCCTTAAATTAACTTGACTTTGTAGATATTATACAGCGACATGCACATACAGACACACACACACACATATACACACATATATATGTATATATACGTGTGTGTCTGTGTGTGACTTTATTTTGACAGACATATACAAGGGGATAAGCCAGTGTAGCTCTAAGAGGGTTACACAAAAAAGGGGTTACAGCACATAACCAACACTTTCTCACTATGACTGAAAAATCACCTTAAAAATCAAAACTTTCTCATAAACCTAAATTTCCATTTCTTATCCAATTCGGGGTTGCACATTGGCTGGAACTCAACTGACACTAGACAGTTTATATTTATATTGATGCTGTTTATTTGATATTAAATGGATCTACTAACCAACGGGAAAACAATAATTATCTGGAAAAATGTCTGTGAGTTTTTTTCCAAGTATAGACTACACATTCATCTAAGGAGCTGCTCTCAAGCAAACCTGATTAACCAGGCATACCTGTTAAGTGAATTTTTAAAAGGGAGAAATCAAACTCCCACTTTACTTGAAACCACAAATAAAGCCAACGACCAGTGCAGCCTCTAAGAGGAGAGTAAGAACGGCTCCAAAGCAAAGGTTTGTGTACTTACTGCGCTTGTGCTTGCTATGATAGCTGATTATCATTGCATTTTAGGTTTAATAATATACCCGGGACAAGATTCAGTGAAGCTGGGCTTAAACAAGAATTTCCTTTGATTAATATTTTTAAGTTTACAAAAGTTAACGTCTTTCTGTTGTTTGCTATCATATTTTTGAGATTTATTTTCTTCTCCTACACTTTTTCAAAGACATAACCATGGCGGTGTACAAGCTAGAGGTGACAACTGGTGACATGAAACACGCAGGAACAATGGACAATATATACATCACCCTGTTTGGAACAGAAGGGCAGAGTGACCGAACTAACTTGGACAACTTGGGCATCGACTTTAAATCCGGCAAGGTAAGATATATTCAGAGTAACAATGTTTATAAAATAGGGGTGTGTGTGTGTGTGGGGGGGCTTGTTCCTTCTTCCAGAGGCAAAGTCCAGCCATGTTTTGAGTCACTATTAGGGACTATAGGCAGAGAACCTACCAGCACCCGATGCCATAATATCCCCTCTGTCAGTGCGCCCCAGGGTGGCTGTGGAGTGGGGGGCGGCATCACGGGCATCGGCAAAAAAAAAAATTAAAAAAAATTGCTCGTACTCATGCTACCCCGACATCAGCCAGCGCATATTGGGAATGG